TAACAGTAGCAGCTGTTGAAGCTTGCTGCTGTAGTACACGCTTACTAACTGCAGAGGTTGTGCTTTTTTATCTAAATTCTATGAAGGAGCCCTCCATCTTTATTTGTTCCTCTAGTCCCCATAACTGAGCAAGGGTGACTAATTGTAGATTGTGTGAACACAATTTGTGCTGTGTGAAGTCTGAATAGTTTTATCTTTATCATACTTGAGCTCCTCTTCAGTCACTTTGTTCATATTTATAGAAACATTAAACAAAACTCTTCAGGGAAAATTGATTGTATTTCAGTCTTAATTCTGTAACTTCTTTAATTGCAACGGAAGTAGATTAGGTTATCCAGCAGGGAAGCAGAAATGGTACCAGGTTTACTGGTCCACAGACCACTGCGGTTCATAAAACCCTAGTTGGTGGGCTGTGAAATAATGACAAGGGAAATCTATATACGTGTGCTTTACAACTGCAGGCAGATAGAAGAGTGGGAAGGAAATAGGCTGTGCTTTGAATGCTTATTTCTATTTTTAATTGGCTATAAATGAAAGCCGTTGTGACAGCACGGCACAATACTATGTGGACTCTTTTTTTCCAGTAAGATTTCAGGGTCTTTGACTTTTTATAAGAGAGAGAATTGAGCAGCTCAAATACTGCACACTGAAAGAAATAACAGTAGGAAATAGCCTAGTCTCATTCCTTCTATGTTGCAATTTATTCATGCTTAATTTTTCAGCCATTCCAAAGGGCTGATGTTCATATGTCAGCCCATTTGTGAAGAAAAAGTTGAATATGTTTCACATATGGGAGTTATTGCCATTCTAGACTTTTGTTCTTCCTGTCATGCAGTTGAAGGGATATACCTTACCCCCAAGAATGAATTTTCTGTCTCAGATAAAGTGCCTTGATAGCTGCTGGAGTTACCCTAATTTAAAATAATAATGTAATGAGTAAGTGACGATGCCATATGGGGCAGATAAGGACAACTGTGCTGCTCCTGTCAGCTGCTTTCCGCCTCAGACCACAGATTCATAAAAGAGATTTAAAAATCCATGTAATTTTTCTTTGATTAAGAAAGGACTCGCAATATCTGGCTTTCTTGCTTATTTGCAGAGCGCCCTGCCATTCCGGAATGCTGTTCCAGGAATGGAGGGCAAGGGCTCTTCTTGTGCAACCATTGATCTGGTCTTGGCAAGTGCCTGTTTGGCAATAGAAAGTGCTGAAATGCCCAGTTGCTATCTCTGGGATTGTATTCATGATAGCACTAGCTAAAGTCAGGTTAACTTCAGGGCAGTGGAAGTTACCTTGTGTGATAACAACCACAATGCAAAGCTCTTCAGTGGTACGTATTACTACGTAGGGTAGTTAAGTCCTCTCTGTGTTACTACCTCCAGCAGCACATCAGTTTAAAACACACATTTAATATGGTTAGAGCCTTCCATTTATCGACCTGATGCAGGAGAGGGATGACACTTGAGGTTATGTTAAATTAACCCCCACAAGTAATGACTACTCATTGCTATTTCTGCTAAGTTTAATGCCTATAATGTGCTTTGTGCTGGTCTTCTGAATACTATTCTAGCTGTAAAAGCAGATGGCAAATGTGTATATTCTCTTCAATGACTGTCAAATGTATAATTAAAATATAAGAGAACTTTCAACCAGTTGCTCTTGTGTGTTCTTCCTAGATCCTAAATTGCTTTTTAGTGTTTGCACCACAAGTGGAACTGAAAATTCTCTGTTCTTACTTCTGGAATTAATCTTGTTATACATTAGTTTGAATTCTCCGTTGTTATTTTTTGGATGAAAATGCAAAATGGTTTGCTTGTATGGGTTTGGGTTTTTTTGTTGTTCTTATTTTAGGAGACTTTTTTTGTTTTGCTAAGAAAGAAGATAATTTGAATAAATACACACCAGGAGAGTGGAAAAATGTTGGGAAACCATTGGTAGCACTCTTTAATTATGTGACCCACTGTAGCAATCGCTGACTTGGCTGCCATGTCTGTAAAATGAGGACGCTTACTGTTTGGTTCTAAAATACTTTGAGCTCCGTGAGAAGAAAAATCTTCTAGAAATTGTGTTTGGTTGATAAATGAAGATATTGGTTGAGCTTTTCACACTTTGCACATGTGACAGTCACCTAATCAATAAGTGGCTGAGATAAGAACGGAGGTCTGTTGGGTCTCACACAGTAGGCTTAATTTATGCCTTATGCCATCCGTGTTCCCCTTAGCTAATGCCCTTCGTAGCTCAGGCTTGCAGCCCTTCTGTCTCTTCCCCCTGCTGCTGAGTGGTTGCATGTGCCAAATACAGAGGGCTGGCCTGACTGAAGGCCCAACGGGCGCTTGGAACTTGAGCTATGGGAAAACACGGCCCACAGTGGCAATGCAGCCGCTTCCTGACTGGGACCAGGTCCCTGGGGAGCCTGGGGAGAAGTTATCATAGAATCATAGAATGGTTTGGGTTGGAAGGGACCTTTAAAGATCACCTCATCCACTCTGCCCCTGCCTTGGGCAGGGACATCTTTCACTAGATCAGGTTGCTCCACATCCAACCTGGCCTCAAACACTTCCACTGATAGGGTGTCCACAACTTCTCTGGGCAACTTTTTCCAGTGTCTCACCACCCTCATTGTAAAGAATTCTTCCTTATATCCAATCTAAAACTACCCTTTTCCAGTTTAAAACCATTGCCCCTTGTCCTGTCACTACAGGCCTTGGTAAAAAGTCTTTGTCTTTCTTGTAAGTCCCCTGTACGTACTGAAAGGCTGCAATAAGGTCTCCCTGGAACCTTCTCCCCTCCAGGCTTAACAACCCCAATTCTTTCAGAATTTCTTCACAGGAGAGGTGTTCCAGCCCTCTGATCATTTTTCCTGGCCCTCTGGACCCGCTCTCACAGGTCCATGTCTTTCCCAGGCTGGGGGCCCCAGAGCTGGATGTTTCCCCTGGGTAAGTTTTGACAGCTGGCTCAGACGTATGCCCATCTTGTCAGCCTGTGCAAGAGGACTTGGGCATGGGGAAAGAAGAAAGTAAAGTGTGAGAGGGGTGCACACATACCCCTGTGCACCATTTGGTTAATGCATTTGTTGGAAGTGGAGGGTAAAATACCAACGGGCATAACAGCCACAAGTTCCAACTGCCAGAGCAGTGAGGTTATGGCACAGGCCTTCCCACAGGAACAGCAGGAGCAAAATTCAGCCCTGCTGTAGCTATTGTTCATGTGGAATTTGGTCAACTTATGAAAGGGGCCTCTATGACATGGTTGCCTGCAAAAGTAGGGGACTTAGTGACCCAGGAGCTGCCTTCCACATCTCTTAGGCTCAGGTCAGACTGACCCTTCATTACCAAATCTCAATAACAGGTCCAGAGTCCTCCACAGCTTCTTGCCTGTCCCACTGAGCTGGATGTGCTTGCAAAAGAGCAAATGGGGAAACAAAGCAGGACCTTTGACCCCTTGCTATCGCTATATTAGCTCTGCATAAATGCCGGTGTCTCAGATGAGCATCTACCTCAGCTTTGGCCTGAGAAAGAGAGAGAAAACAGGACAGGTAAGAGCTGAACTCTCTGTTCTGGGTGGTATGGACTTTGTGACTGGTATATCTAGGACATAGAGAAGCGAGTGGAGGTGGTCTTCTATCTTGCCCCATTTCTTATTGCAAGCCAAAGAGTGAGCCCTTCTCATGCTCCATAGTCAGGAATACTGCTGAAATGGAGGAGGGTGGGAGTGCTTGAGGTAACCGGGATTGAAACTGAGTGATGTATGCTCCATAAGACAGTCATAGGAGGGTCAAGCCCATGGTAGGGATTGCAGAGTTTCAGTGTTGGAAGATGCATAACCTTTTCCTAGCTGCCTTCACCACAGGGACTACAGGCTCTAAAGCGGGTAAGATCACCTCTTTACGCTGTTGAGAAGCAAGTTTATACCTTTTGTCTACAGAGGGAGAAACTGGCTCTAGGATTAAAAATCAAGGAAGGGTGGTAATGGAGCAACTGCTGCTGGTCAGCAAATGTCTAGTGAATGGAGTGGTAGCTGTTGAAGGTTCTCTGTGCACAGAAAGAAATAAAAGTGGATGGAAATTTCCTTACTGTGGAATAAGAAGCATTGACTTGTAGCTACCTGGCACAGGATTTACCAAAGCATTCACATGTAATAGACTTGCAGCCTTTTTTGCCGTCGTAATTCCTAACACTGCAATGTTTTCTTCATGTTGCTCTGAGTGATGCAGCCCTCTAATTCAGGGCATAAGTCAATTTTAACTTCTAAACACCTTTTTAAGTGCAGCATGTTTGAAAAGCTTGATTAGATGTAATCTCTTCAAAGTACCAAGTACCAAATTTTCAAGAGTTCCTCCAATTCTGACTTTTTAAATAGACGAAATAAAGGAGGTTGGATGAAGCTAAAGTTTGCACTTACTCCCTTTTGAGAACTTGTTCTGCCTGGGCTATTATCTGCTTCATTAATCCCAGTGTGGAAAAGATAAGAGAACCTAGTTGGGTAGTTGGGTCTTTCCTCAGTTAGAGCAAGACAAAATACTCAGATCACTGGGTCACTAAGATGATCATTGTATGTGATGCAGTCACTAGCACAATGTTCTTTAGAGAAATTTACCCCAAAAAATCAAACAAAAAAATCCCACATTATGGATTTTTCAGTTGTACTTCTGTGGGGCGGAAACCTATTCTGACCTCTGCCAGTTTTAGTGGTTTGCTCATGTGCTGAAACAAGGAATTTTAGCTCTCGTACAAAAGAAGTAGCTTTAACTGTCACATATTTCTTAAAGCTATCATTCATTGTGGATATTTGTGATTATACAAATAAAAGGACACTTTTATTTTTATACTATCTTTTTCTCAGTTCTTCAGAGCAAATGCGCTGTGATCTTCCCTGTTCTTTTCTTCATTTATTGGTTAGGTTTGTTGGTGTTTAACTGACATGTTTTACTTCTCTGAAAAGAAACAAAGCATTGTATGCTGATTCCAGTAGGTCTCTTGGTGTAGAGAGCGGAGCTGCAAACCATGCTGCAATCCAGGGCATTGGTGATAGCCCTGCTTCTGCTCCTTAGCACCACTCTCCCCGGTAAGTCTGAAAAGATTTTCTCTTTGCCTGAGACAAAGCTCAGCTCTACAGGTTCTCACTTGCCTTGGAGAAGTCTAACCCATCCATAAAGCAGGGCTGAGGCCAAATAACACATTTCAAGACCATGAATATATAGTGCTTGACAGCATGAAACAATTAGTAGGGGCCTGGCATGAAAACTGTCCATACTTGGTGCAAATACTCTGCCATGTAAGGCCTATGACCCAGATGCCCAAAAATGAGTGCTGTTGGATGCTGCTAGAGCGAATCTGGGGGAAGATTTGAATCTCAGAATTTCAAGACTCTTCCCACTGTGTCTGGGGGAAGATATCAGAGACACAAGTGACTGGAGAAGCCTCATGATTTTTTGCCTCCTCTTTCTCAGAAGTGCACTCAAAGTCCATCTTTGAGAAAGAGCGGCGTGACTGGTTGGTCATCCCCGATGCAATTGCAGCTTACATCTATGAATGTGTGAACAAGGTGTCCCCTAAAGTCGGTCAGTTCCTGGTGGATGCTTCCCAGACTCCAGCAGTTGTTGTGACCAGGTATGGAAAGATCGTCTGTGCTAACGCTGCAATAGCCATGGGTGAAAAGGGAGAGGGAGGAGTGGAAGAAAGAACAGATTAATCAAGTATCTATATGGGGAGACCCAATGGGAAATTAATCAGCAACCAAAGCCTAATGTGACTACATTGGGAGTGGAGTGCTGGAAGGTGGGGTGGGATGATATGGTTTCATGTGAAAGTGCAAGCTCTTTGCAGGGATGCGCATTGAACACGACTATGCTTGTGGGGATAGGAGGTACTGTTCTTTATACATCGGTAGTGAGGGAGGGGGCTGCTGGTTTGTGGGGCACCAGCCCCCCTGGAAGGGTGCCGCGGTGCTGTCCGTGGGGGGCTGAGTACTGAAGGTGCCAGGAAACATTGCTGTCACTCGATGCAAATCACCAAGCTGGCTCTAGCCGTGAATACATATTCCTCAAATACAAGGAACGAGTTGCCTCCCAAAAGGAAAAAAAAGCATGATGACCCTAGAGATACAGTTTCATGTGACTCATGGCAAACACATACTGCCTATTCCTGTCTTCTGAGGAAAGCCCCTCTAGGACTGCTGAGGAGCTTTGCATTCTCAGTGACAGGCATGTGATAACTACAGCAGATGGAGATTACCCTCGCGTATTTGTGTATCTTACCCCATACACTGTCGTCTCCTGCAGGAACTTCCTCATCAGAGAAACGACTAAACTCAGTATACTGGCTGAACAGATAATCGAAAAAATAAAGAACATGTGGTACACAAAAGTCCTAGGCTACTAGCCAGATGAAGACAAGTCAGTGTTTCCTGATGTGAGTTGGTAATACCCTGCAGTGTCTTCTCTCCCCCTGCCCCTACGACGGACCAAGATCAGTCAGTAAGACAGAACCGATGCTCCTCTTAATGCCACTAGAGGTAACCCAGCTTCAAAGACCAAAGGATGGAAGGCATCTGCTGAAGTCTCCCCCCAAAAAAACCCCGTGGCTGGGCATGGGGAAGGCAATGAGATTGTAGAGCTCTTCTGTAGCCAAATCCTGAAAATTAATTCCTCCTGAATGGCTTGGCCATTGCCCCTCTAATAAAAAAATGTTGGTTGTTACACTTCCTTAAGTATCCTGTTTGTACTGACTGTTACAAAATCACATCCACCTTGCCATCCCATTCTGCTGAGAATGTAGCTGTGATTCACAAGAAGTTGTTGCAGGCAATGCTAACAAACCCTGACTGTTCAGGCACTTTTAACTAAGCTCAGGTTCTGCTTGGGTGGAGGGGGCACTACCTGAGCATCTTTCAGGGTAGCCACAATATGGCAACCGTAACCTCACATCAGGAAAGACCATGAAATTTAAGTCCTACTGATGTGCTCATTGGTTAGGTAAGAAGCAAGTAGGTGCACCTGTATCAAGTGTCTGAAGATTTCAGATCATCTGGGAAAACAAGTGCCAGTAACTGTCCATCAATCTGAGCAGGACTTTGAAAGTATGTTTCATCAGCCAACTCATGAGGGTATTGAATAGCCTTTCCAAAGGAGTAACGAGGGGAAAATTTCTCCCTATCTTCAAGATGGAGGGTGACCAGTTTATGAGAGGGGTACCTATGCCCAGGACTGTCTATGAAGACCTGGCAGGTCCTTGCCAGCCCTGTGTAACTGCCTTATCTCAGGTGCCTACATTGGATAAAGAAATCTATCTAGCTTATCATTAAGCAAGCAGAAAAAAGCAGGTAATTTGTCTGAAATCGCAGTGGGAGACTGTGGCAGAGGCTAAAACAAAACACCGCTAGCCTGAGATCTAGGATTCACATGCACACGGGCAGAGCTACTGCTTTGGAGGGAGAGCACCACTACAACTGGCAAAAGGATATTTGTCTACTAACTACAAAGCAACACTACTGTCTGTTAAGGTGCATCTCCATTTACTTTCCTCTCGTTGAGGTCTTAAACCTAAAACTTTGTTCTGCTTCAACATTACCCATAACTATCTGTGAGGGTGTCATGGTTTAATCCCAGCTGGCAACTAAGCACCATGCAGCCGTTCACTCACTCCCCCCCCGCTGGGACAAGGGAGAGAATTAGAAGAGTAAAAGTGAGAAAACTCATGAGTCCAGTTAAAGACAGTTTAATAGGTAAAGCAAAAGCTGCACATGCAAGCAAAGCAAAACAAGGAATCCATTCACCACTTCGCATCAGCAAGTAGGTGTTCAGCCATCTCCAGGAAAGCAGGGCTCTATCAAGCGTAACAGTCTCTTCGGAAGACAAATGCCGTAACTCTGAATATCCCCCTCTTCCTTCTTCTTCCCAAGCTTTATATGCTGGGCATGATGTCATATGGTATGGAATATCCCCTGGGTCAGTTGGGGTCAGCTGTCCTGGCTGTGTCCCCTCCCAACTCCTTGTGCACCCCCAGCCTACTCGCTGATGGGGTGGTGCGAGAAGCAGAAAGACACCTTGACTCTGTGTAAGCCCTGCTCAGCAATAACTAAAACAGCTCTGTGTTATCAACACTGTTTTCAGCACAAATCCAAAACATAGCCTCATGCTAGCCACTATGAAGAAAATTAACTCTATCTCAGCAAAATCCAGCATACAGGGCTTGAGAGCCCCAGTAATGGCCCTCACCAGGGACCCTCATCCACACACCCTGCCTACAGACCCAGGAGCCACATCTAAGCTCAGCCTCCGGGCACCCAGACCGCTCCCTGCTCCCTGATGTCTTGGCTTACTGGTGGGTTGTCTTGCATGGATGCTGGACCTATACTGTAGGTAGCCTCATGCTGTCCTTGGTCCTGCTGCCTGGATGGACCTTGAGCCTATGCTGTAGCCTTGCCTCCAGCTCTGCCTCTTGCTGTCCTGAGTGGGCTCCCTGGTATGACTGAAGGACCCCGTCACAGTTACCACCTCGCCTCTGCTTGGGTACAGTGGGGCTGTGCCCTGGCTGGGGGCATCACTACCTGTGCTGTGGTCTCTACTGGCTCCTGGCTTGTCCTCTCTCTTGGAACATCCCAGCTCTCGCTGCTCCCTGGCGCTATTTCCAGATTATCAGGTAATCAACAACTGAGATGGGGAAGCAGGAAAAGCAGAGAAGCCCAAGGAGGAACTGGAGATGTCAGTGTCTGGCCCTGCCCACGGAAGTGTGCAAGGGAGCAAAGGGAGAGATAGGGGGTGACAAGGAGAAGGAAAAAGCAATGGAGATTGAAGGAAATGAAAGAATCAGCAGCAATTGTGCTAAAAGCTGAATGTATTTCCTCAAGGTTATCCCTTCCCTCTGCTCCCCACTGAGTTTGAGTATGGAAATTAACTCAAAAGGCTAATTAACAGATGAAGGCTATATTTCATCCCATATCTCTGTGCCAACCTCCACCAGCATTGATGAGAGAACTGCTCTGACCCCAGGTACAAAGTTCCAAGCCTTTATTTTAATCTGTTCTCCACATTTTACAACAGTAGTTGACTATCTTGGGAGAGCAGACTTTGCCATTGTTGAGCTTTAATACTCCTATCACTTGGGCAGCATTGCGGGTGCGGGAAGAATGCCCAAAGCTAACAGTAAGGCTCTTTTTCCAGCCTGAAGTGCTGGATACTGAAAATGTGTGTGTCCACTTTTTTTCTCAATGATCAGAAAGACTTACTGCCAACAGTACTTCAATCTCTAAAGCTTCCTATGGCCCCAGTTTGAATTTCATCTCCCCAGACCTTTGCTACTGAGAGGAGTTGGCTTCAGCACAAGCCTAAACATGCTGTAGCTGTTGTCCTGTTGGAGCAATTTGGTAGGCTACCAATACAGGAGAAATGAGTCCCCTATGTTTTGGAGTTGGCTATTTTGTTGTTTGGGTTTGGGTTTGTAATTATCAATCAGATCAGCTATCAATATAAACTTGCAGTTAACCATTTGTCTGGAATAGAAAATGTCATTTTGCATTTTCTGTGTCTCAGCAGCCGCTTGGTACCACGCGCAATCAGAATGAGCTCAGTGTCCCCATGCAGAGCAGCAAGTTCTTCCATCTCTGGCTGCTTCACCACTTCTGCAGAGCTCTTTTGCAGATTTCTTTATTGCTGCCTGTTTTGCTTACACTGTCTGCACTTCCTTGGTCACACATCAATGTGTACATGCATATGTATTATGTAAATGCACCAGTATTTAGAAGGAGGTTTAGAAAAGCATAGTTTGGGCTGATAAGAGCGTTTACCACATGAAAAAGCCTGAAACTTCAGCTCTTTCTGCTACTGAGATGATTTCCTACCTGCTTGTTTTGCACTGTCTGCTCAGTCTTTCTCTCTTTTTTCCCCAATACAACCCTTGTAGGAGAAGCCCTGCAGCTTATATCCCCTCTTGCCCCAGGGGAGAATTCAGAATTCTGAGTTTTCTCAGGATAGAGCTTATTCTTCTGGCACTTCAAAAGTATTTCTTTCTGAAAGAACAAAAGTCATGACTCGTATGAAAGAGCCTGAACGTGCCCTTAAGAGTTTGGTGTCCTGGAAATCATTGCTTGATATTTGCATGCACTGCCAGAAAGGGTAGGAAAAAGTTTGGAAAGTATAGGGGGCTCATGCTGCGTTTCAAGCCTGTTGTGTGAATTCATCAATGCAACCCAGCGGCATTTCTGTATTACATCACTGCATAGCTGGAGCAGAGCAGGACCCGATATGAATTCCATGCTAAAACTTAGCAAAGTTTTGATATTTTGTTAAATGCACTTAATTATAACCTTTTTGTTCTCCTGCAATGTAACCTTCAGAAAATCCAAGCCAGCCACATGCTGATGAGCTGTTTGGTATCTGATTGATTTTCGCATACCAGCAAAACTGAATCAACCTATAGATCGCTGTATTTGTTTGTACTGAATCACCTGATCATGTAGTTACCTATGCGTTTTTATGCTTTAAAAGAAGTAAACAGAAAGCCTTCCAGACGGTTAATCTGCTATACAATCTACAATGTTGGGCAATATATGAAGAGCAAAGTAGACAACCTCCCACTGCCTCTGCTGACCCTGACATTACTGGCATCACCCTCTGGTGAGTTACTTAAAGGCAGGAGCTAGCAGCTGAGAGAGCATTCAGGCTGGGATCAGGTAGAAAAAAAAAGTATTTCACCCCAGAAGGGTTCCAGAGCCAAATTCATGGGACAGATAGAGGGAGCCATACATTTTACTCTCAGAGTTAAAATATTTAACACCTACTCCCACTTTTCAGTAGGAATAAACAGCTTAATCTGTGATTTCTTTGTAAAACAGAGATGGAAATCACTTCCCAAGTGATGTCTGTGAAGGTTCACTGAGTGCTTCAAGGTTCTTGGAGAGGCTTCATAAGTGAAGTGGTCATTTCAGTGAGATTCGTATCACAGAAACTTTCTTTGTGAGTAATCATCATTCACTCAGCAGATTTGGGAAATCTTGCGGTGTAACTCGTTCAACTGAGCCGATTGAAACAAAATCTTAAGAAATGTCAGTTTTCTGTTGTTTCTGAGATGGATGAATAACATCTCATATGTTCCCGATTTCTGCAAAAACACTCCTTCTTGAAAATTATTTATTATGGTGAATACTTTACACCATTTTTAGTGGCTCAGGGTGTTGATGGCACAGAACTGTTCAGCTTTTACACTTCCTAGTTCCCCTCACCTCTTACTTTGACACTTGGAAAAATCACGAATTAATGCTAACTAACGAATGCCTCAGGCTCTGTGCTGCTGTGAGCAGTGGCGGCTGTCCTTGTCAACAAACAGCCCAAGTCCTTCAGTAGCAGAAAACCCAACGTGAGGTGTTTTCTCCTTCCAGGGAGAGATGACAAGGACTGGCAAAAGTCATGTAAAGTATTTGAAATTTATGACTGGTAGTCACACTTAAAAGAGCCATGGGGTGATTTCCCCTACACACACACACCACGCACGCACATTTCCATCTAAAGGTATTGTATTTTTTGTTCTCTGGTGATGGCAGCGCAGGGCTGTGTGGGCAGGGACAGAGAGGTGTAGCTGC